ATCTGTATATAGCAAGGAATGTCTTAATAATTTATACCTATTATTGCAGTAATGTCTTGACTTACTTTTACATTAACATCAGCTGTTGATTGTAGCGGTAGTATGTGGCCACTGATGACAACATCCAAGAGTAAATAACCATCTGAATCCAAACCACGGGCAACATGAGTCATCCGTACTAGCTCCCCTATGGATTTCAACAATAGTTCTGATGAGTGAATGATGTGAGCACGGGGTATGTTTTCATAAGACACCTTACGTGTGAAATGAATTGACATAGACCATTTAGTCTGAAACTAAATGGCTGTAAAAATGCATTTCTTGAAATATATATGTGCTAATGATTACAGAAAGGCTTCAACCCAAAAATACCAAAATCATATTTATTAAAGATTTTTTAAAAAATTAGAGGCAGCTATTAATGTCTTTCCGCCTCCGTTGCCAATTTGCACCAATCTAATAATTTCCATTGTATTCAAATTGTTTCATACTTTTCATACTAGTTTGTGGATTCTTTTTTAAAACCATGAATTGAAAGTTGCACACATTTTGTTGTACATATAAACATGCATATTTTAAAACATGCTTTTTTTTTTTTAAATGTACCGGTTTTGTATACATTTGTTGTTTGGAAAGTATAAAGGAGCATTTGGCTATCAAGGTGTTATTGCCCTTGGGTTCATTCTGTAAGTTCACTTCTTCCTAGAATCATATGCAAATTAATTGTCAACACTTCTAGAAGAAAACATTTTGGATCTTATGCAAAATAAACATCTGTGTCCTATTTTTACTAACCAGTAGCAAATTCTACTTGTGTTTCCCGCTTGAAAACTGCACTCGTGAGCGAAAAGCCATTCACAGCTTCTCCAATTTCCTTGGCGGTTATCCAATAAATAGGACTCAGAATAGAAACCAGCACTCTCATTACAGGACCTTTAGGAGGAATAGCATTATGGTAAACATAGCATCTTGATATTTGTAATTTTTGGAAAATATTTCCGTTAATTACTTCCTAGAAACAACTGCCTCTTAATCACTTCCTAGAATCAATTTACAAAACTTGAAGATCATGAATATTTTTTTTCTTTGTTCAGGACTGCCATAAATAATTTATGAAAAGGATAGAATAAATCAACATTACAAAGAATATATTGATATAAGCACAAGGATCTCAATGTGTTTGCCTGCTTTCTGGTTTTCCCATACTGCTATCGAATGTCCTGGTGGCCTTCTACACAGGCAGAATGCCATTTGAAACCCACACAGGCCCTCAAGAGTCTGAACTAATTTTGCGCTGTGCCATTTTCCTAAACGCTTCTATGCTCCTGGAAAAAATAAGATGTGCTCTGTACTTATGAAATCCTGATAATATCCAGAGTTGTAGCCATGATAAACATAGACCTTTCGTGTTGATTTATAATATTAAAACTAAGACAAATGGTGCAAATCTGATACATCTAAATAAAATCTTTAATGCACAAAAGGAACAGCTGTACCGAGATTCCAAGGGATATTTGTAATTTTGGCTTCTACACTTGTAATATCCTCATCTGGACCATCTATTACAGTAGCATTCAGGACAGCAATTCCAAACTCAACATCATTAATATGTCCAATGACGCTTCCTCTAGCTTGTGAGGGTCCACCTGCGGGGGGGAAAGAAAAGAAAAGCCAAAGGAAGCAGTTTTATCCAAAATACACAACTAAATTCTAGAATTCATTTTCTAATGATGGTTCTACAAAGAAAAAAAAAACAACTAGACAAATTCACGGAGAGAATTGGTATTGTTGGTCAAGAAAATAAAGGCAAGAAGCATACGATTCTTAGTGGCTTGATGTCGTGACCCGACAAATGCACTCACGACAAAAGCGCGCCGACAAAACCGCGGCGAGAAAACCGTGATGTCATACACGCGCCCACAACAACGCACCGACAAAACCGCGGCCACAAAGCGTGATTTCAGTTAAGGTAAGGGTTAAATTCAGGGTTAGGTTTAGGGTTAGGATTAGGGTTAGGATTAGGGTTAGGTTTAGGGTTAGGTTTAGGGTTAGGTTTAGAACGCGCGGTTATTATTTGTTCGTTGAAGACGCGCTTTTGTCGGCACGCTGTTGTCGGCGTGCTTCTGCGCTCATTCGTTGGCGCGATTTAGAACTCACGGTTTTCTCACCGCGGTTTCGTCGGTCGCGCTTTTGTCGAGCGCGCATTTGTCGGTGAACCACGCTTCACA